TATTTATTTATTTATTTATTTATTTATTTATTTATTTATTTAAATAATTATGCCCTGACACGTTTTATTAGGCAGGGAGCGAAAACGCCAGCAGGCGGGCAAACTCAGAACCATAGATGCGACCAGGTTTTCCTGACCTTTCCCTGGTTGGTATCGCCCAACCCAACCCCTTTTATCCCGGGATGGTACATCCCAACAGATGCAGGCGTTTCCTTAGAACTTAGGCTCGCTCGGCTTTTCGCCTGCCCCTTCAGGTCTCTCACCTCTGATCCCGCCCCCGCTTCGCCGCGTTCGTCTCTCTCGCGGAGGGAGGGAGGGAGGGAGGGAGGGGGGCGGCAGAGAAAGAAAGTCGGCCTCGCGCTGGGTCGGATAGAGCTCTTTGTGCTGGGGGGGAAGTGAAGCGCGCGCGCGCTCGCCCGCCCGCCCGCCCGGGCCCGAGAAAAGAGGGGAGAAGGAGAAGAAGAAGAAAGAAGAAGAGAAAAAAAAAGAGAGAGAGAGAGAGGGAGAGGAGCCGAATTCTAAAGCGGCCGCGCGGGTGGGCGAGCGAACGAACGAGCGGGCGGGCGCGCGAAACCGAGAGTCGGATCGTTAGAAGAGTTGAGAGTGGAGGAGGTGGCGCGAACAAAAAAAACAAAAAAAAACCAAACACCCCGCAACCGATGAAAAACAACGGCCGGCCCGGGGGCAGCTGTCGAGGGGGGAGGCGCGAGTCGGACGCCCCGTTGTGCGGCTTTGCTGGTGAGGAAAGCCGGGGCAGGAAACGGCAATTAACTGGGGAAAGGGGAAGAGTTGCTGCCGCCGCCGCGTAGGACCCGCTGTTTATCTCAGGTAAGTGCGAGAGGGAGGAGGAGGAGGAGGGGGAGGGAGGGAGGGAAAAGGGAAAGGTTACTTCGAAAAGTTTGGAGGGAGGGCCAGGGCCGCGAAGCTCGCCTCGAGCGCTTCGCCAACGGGGGGGACAGAAAGAGGGAGGAGAAATCCCGAGTTGGCGGCGGCTCCATTGTGAGCGGCTCAGATCGCGGCTTCTCGCTTGGCTCCGCCACCTTTCCCAGGGGCTGGTGCTCGAATGCTGCTCGTTCGTGATCCGGGTGGGAATCCCCAATTTCCCCCCCGAAATGATTTGCGCTTCTGGTAGGAAATGCAAGAAACCCAGATTCGTGGGTAAAGCAGAGGGGGACGTGAGGAGAGGAGCGTGGGGGTGGGGGTGTTTGGTGGGATAAGTGCTTCGGGAACGAGAGATTAGTTATAAATGAAATCCACGTCTCCCGCTTTTATTTTCCTATAATTTCTGCCGGCCTCTCTAAGGGAACGAGATCCAGAAATGGTGGGGCCCAGAAAAAGGAAATGGCTAGTTAATAAGCTACCTTTTGGAAAGGAAAGAAGAGTTTTTGTGGGAGGGAGAACAGGCAGGGAGAGGGAGGGAGGGAGGGAGGAGAGAAAGACTCCAAATCTTCAGATTTGTTTCATGCCAGGAAAGAAACTCCACTGTTCTGCTCCAACAATTTCTTTCCCAGGGAAAAATGTTGTGGTTGGACCCTGTGTGAAGGTGGCACTTTCAATGTAGACTCCTTAATCCTGAAAGTGGATGAACTTGCCACAGTTGTTTATCGAAGAGGGAAAGAAGAATCACTTATTTTTGGTTGAAAGCCATTATCTGCTTTTCCTTGTTTACTATTTCATACCTTACAAAGGCAAGCCTTGGCGATGAAAATATCTTTCACTGTGTGAACTCTTGAGTTTCAGAGATTTTTTTTAGTTATTTTTCCCTTGTCCCTTGATTGATAGACCACATTTTAAATAAATTTCTCCCTTATCCTTAGGCTGTAGAATTCCACTTAGCACAAGGATGAAATACTTAGTGTAAATGAGTGATGTCTCTGGCTCACAAAGTGTTGTTTTTTGTTTGTTTGTTTGCAGATACCTTTCAGGATAAGAATGGATCAGCTATGGTGCTAGCATCTCATTTTTCTAGATACATTCTTGAAGTGCCTGTTGTTTTTGTATGCGCCTCTCCTCCTCCTTCCCACCACATATTTCATTGCTCTTATGGAAGAATAAAATGGTGAGAGGCGTCTTCCAGTCTCTTTCTCTCTCCAGGCTGTAAGAGGACTGTATCACATTGTGGGAGCAGCACTGGCAGCTGCTGTTGGTTTTCACCTCTTCAGACTCTCATTTGTAAAGAATTGAAGGCTTTCTGCATTTGACAATGATGAAGACTGAAGGCAAAGGAGACAGAACTTTAAGAAGTGCTTCTCCGCACAGAAATGCCTATAAAACTGATTTTCATGCAATTAAGTGTAGTTTTGATTCAGTGAATACTGATAATGCTTCCAACAAGTCTAATCCTCAGCAAAAGTTGACCAACTCATCCAATGGAGAAGGTAATGATCCACATGTTCGTGGCAGAGCTGTCTCATATGGCAACAGAGTACACAAGATCAAAAACATGTTCATGCAGATGGGTGGTTCTTCCAATTCACCATGTGAAAACAGTTCACCCTCTGAGCCCCGAATTATTAATAAAATAACTTCAACTGATCTTGCACTTCCTCCTCCTAGTAGCCCATCTTATCTCTGTGTTCAAAAAAATAACTTACTCAATAGTGGTTCCTTTTGTAGTTCCCCGGATCCTTTACCTGCATGTTCATTCACTGATAAAATTATCTGCAGCAAAGAAGAGGGAAATTTAGACAAAGCTACACTAGCAGAGAAGTTTTCTGAGACCAGAAAACTATTTGAAAGGAACGTTAAGAAACCAAGTTCACTGGATAGAAGTCCTCCCATTAAAAGTGAAAGGATTGAAGACAGGAGACGACATGGTTCCACTTCTTCTGATTGCAGCAGTGTGACAGATCACTTTAATTTCAATATTGATGTAACTTCTCAGGTTGCTGTAGAGAATCAAGGAAATAGTAATCAAAAGGAACAGCAATCTACTGGCAGTTGTAAATCCTCTTCACTGAATGCAGGACCTATTTCTCGAAGACTGGAGAGTTTCTTGGCTGATATTGACAATGACGACTTGAAAGATACTTTGAAAACTAAGGATATCCCAAATCCTGTTCAAACAGTGTTCTGCAGCTGGGAATCACCAGGAGTTAGGAAAGAAGTAAACGTGCAGCAAAATCAGCCCATTGCAGAAGCTTCCCTTTTGATAAGCAGCACTTCTACGGAAAGGAGTGAGTTAAGTGATACAACTGAAGTAACTTCTCAAACAGATCAAACTTCCGAAAAGGAGCAGCAATATAAAACCAGCATATCCTCTAAAGTGGATAGAGCCCCTATAAAAATTTCTCAAGTAGAAGTAGCTAGAGCTGAACTGATTATGGTGCAGAACAAAACTTTAGGGGATAACAATGAAATCACTGGGGAAGTCAATGTATTTCAGAAGGAAAAATCATTCAGATTTCCAAGTTGGAAAGAGGAGAGAAACGACTGTACATTTGAGAAAATGGAAGAATCTAATGAGGATGGTGCAGTTAATCAAAAAGCAAGAGAGTTAGTGTTTCTGGACAAAGAGCAGGAACAAGAGCAAGTCCCTGTAAAATCTGTAGGGGATAGTGAAGAGGAAGAACAAGAACAGGGAAAGAAATTTAGTGGGTTTTCTTCCAGTACTTTAGGGATCGAGAATGCTGCTTTTGATGATGACAGAGAACCAGAAGTACTTAGTCGGGGCCCTGAAACAGGGGAAACCTTGCAAGAGGAGGAATATAACTATAATAGTGATTACGAGGAGCTTTCTGGACTTTCTGAGGAAGAAGATCCTGATCCAGCTAGAAAAGTGAAGTTTTCTACAGCCCCAATCAAGGTAATGCTTCATGAATGGGTATAAAATATAATTATTGTTGCTAGTTATTTAAATATAGTAATTATAACAATGAGGTCTATTAGTATATTTATTAGTATATGGATGCTTTGAAATTGGCCTCTTAATTACAGTTTTCCTTCCAGATAAGAATTTCTAAAGTATTTTGAGTTTTAAAGTACCTTTATATTTTTTTTAAAAAAATACTGGTTCAGTTAATCTGAAATGGAATCATGACTAACCTCACTGCCTGGGACAGGCTAACCATATAATGCCCGTGCTTCATATCTTGTATGGACTGATAGTCTTATTCAGCTGCACTGACTTCTAGGCCCAGTCTTGGTGCTGTTATTTAAAACCATGAATGGTATGAAACAAGTAAAAAGGAAATGGTTTTTTAATTATCTTTGGTGCTCCCAGGCTATATGGGAGAAGGCCTTCTCAATTATTAAGGACCTGTTTATAAAATGTCTTTTCCAGAGAGGTATATTTTGCATCCCCGATTATGATTTATAAAAGGTATAGTGGTGCAGTGGTTAGAATGCAGTATTGCAGGCTAATTCTGCTGACTGCTAACAGCCAGCAGTTCGATTCTCACTAGCTCAAGGTTGGCTCAAACTTCCATCCTTCTGAGGTCAATAAAATGAGGACCCAGATTGTTGGAGGCAATATGCTGGCTCTGTAAACTGCTTAGAGAGGACTGTAAAAAGCACTGTGAAGCGGTATATAAGTGTTAAGTACTATTGCTATTCAGTGCCAGCAAATGTATTGCTCATAGATATTTTTGCAGTTTTTGTACATAGATTTTACATTCTTATCTGTATTATAATAGTTCCTTTTATATACATTTCTGGTGATTTATTGTATTTTTATTGTTTAGCTGTATTTGATTATTTTTAATTTCAAATCCACAAGTGAACTTTAGCTCTTAAGGTTAACTAAAGATTGTTAATCTTCAGTTAACAATGATAAATAACACAGGAATTTCTGTGAGTAAGCGTCACAGTTGTAAAGTACAATGTCACATGACTGCCATTTTGCATTGAAAATTACAACATTCTCAGTTGTCATTAAGTGAATCACCACAAGTTATTAAGTGAGGATAGCTCATGGTCATTGCTGGCTTCCCCATTAACTTTGACTGTAGGAAACCAGCAAAGAAGGTCACAAATTGTAATCGCATGAATGCAGGGCACTGTAATTGCAAGCCAGGTCCACGTGATTACGTGACCATGGGGACTCTGCAACCAATGTTAAGGACAAAGCCCAGTCATAACTATTATTCATTCAGCACTGTTGTAAGTTTGAGCAGTCACTGAACGAATGGTTCTTAAGCAAGGACCATCTGTTATAGCAATAGTAGTAGTAATCTAGGATATACCTTATGTGGCTATAGTATAAACTTTTGAGAGGTATAGAACTATTTTCTATGTTAGATTAAATGAGTGAAGAAGGTGTTGTGTTGGCATTTTGGTTGCCAGTCAGGAGCCAATAAATTTTTTAAGATTTAAAGACAGTAGGCTCAAATCAGAGTGAAATTCCAAAGAAAAAAGAATAGGAAAAAAGGACTAAGGGTAATATGATAGCAGTGTTCTAATATCTAAGGATCTGCCATAAAGTTAATCAGAACAGAACTGGAATGGACATTGGAAGTCTTCTAGTGACTAGTCCAACCCCCTGCTCAAGTAGGAGACCCTGGCCTATACAATTTGAGAAAAGTGGCTGTCCAGTGTCTTCTTAAAAACCTCCAGTGACGAAGCACCCATGATTTCTGAAGGCCAGCTTTTCCATTGGTTAATTATCCTCACTGTTAGGAAGTTTCTCCTTAATTCCAAGTTGCTTCTCTCCTTGATTCTTTGTGGCAGCCCCTCAAATACTGGGACACTGCTGTCAAGTCACTCCTACTCCTTTTTTTCTCTAGACTGGCCATACCCAGTTCCATCCTTCATATGTTTTAGTCTCCAGGCCTTTTAAACATCCTAGTTGCTCTTCTTTGCACTTTTTTTTTTTCAAAGTTTCAACATCTTTTTTATGATGTAACCAAAATCAGTATTCCAGGTGTGGTCTTACTAAGTTTTCATAAAGCGGTACTAATATGTCACGTCCTTTTGATTTTATGTCTCTGTTTATTTACACACACACACACACACCCTCCAGAAACTAATAATTATGCAGCATCCTCCCAGGGTTTTAGGTTTATGGTGAGGTTCAAATTGTCTGAATTCTTTTACTACTTTTTATTCTTGAAACAAAATATAAACAAAAGATGGTGGTGACTTCATAGCACCTCTTATCAGGGACTTGATCATAAATTTAGACAGTGGAATCCCTACAGTGAATTTTTAGGGAAGATGGATTCTCTAGTAGTCACAGTCATGGAATCAATACCTTTGGAATCCTACTTCTGTGGTCCTCTTTATCTTAATAATTGTAAGTGATGATAAGTAACAGATAAAGTGGCAAGCCAGAGTTATTAATGATAATGATGCAGTCTGCAAAACTGTGCTAAGTAACTTCTTTTAAGTGCATGTGTGGAATAATACACAAATCACCTCAGCTGGCTAGCAATTCTGCCCAGAGATATCTTATAGGTGCAGACAGAATAAGGGGTCCACATCACTTTTATGTCATTTGAACTGATTAACTATGATGAACATCAACTATGGTTTTTTTTAAAAAAATAAAGAGAAAAGTTTGTTCAAGGCATGTGACTCATCCCTGTTTCCTTATGCCATACTAAGTTATGGTTTTAGTACATCTTTTTCATTGCTTCGCCCACAGATACATTGCACATTCCTTTCATTTTCAAGTACTGTGGGCAAAGAGCAGGTTGGCTAGCAATCATGCAAACTGAATTTCAGCTTATCCAGAGAACATCACATGGAAGCCAGATACAGTAAAATGTACAAACATTACTAGAACGTTAAAAAACGAAATGAATCAGTATCTTTTAGCACAATAATATTATCGTTAATGTTGTAGTAAATATCAGTTAAGATTCCCTTTAATCTTTCTGCCAAGAATGATAAAGTGCCTTTGGCTGTAGGTTTCAAGTGAGCAAGACTTGTATATTTAAAAGTGGAAAAATAACTTGTGCATATTAGTTAGATCATTACGTTGGAAACATTAAGTGAAGCTTTCTTGATTGTGAATTTTTTAAATTTGGAAGTAGTTCAAAATTGAGTGTAATGTGCAAACTGTAAAAGTAAGATTGCTTGTTTTTCATTTCCAAACTAAAGAAAACAGAGATAAAGAATGAAATTACTATGCATGATGGTTGTAAGTCTCCCAGAGTTACTTTGGTGAGATGGGCAGTGCAGAAATTTAATAAATAAATTCAATAAGTAAATCAATATTTGAGGCTGGCTTGGTTCAGATTATGATTCCACATTTAATAAAAAGCAATAGGAAAAAATAGCTGATTGCCATATGTATTATATCACTTTTAAAAATAAAAATGAAGGTACTTCTAGACTTTACAACCATTTGTTTAGTGACCATTCAAAGTTAGAATGTAGCATTTGTAGCATTTCCATGGTCACTAGTTATCAAATTTTGACCACTTGGCAATTGAGATGTATTTATGATAGTTGCAGTGTCCCAGGGTCATGTGATCCTCTTTTGCAACCTTCTGACAGGCAAAGTCAACAAAGACAGATTGGGTTACTCACTGAACAATTTCAGTGATTCATTGAACAGTTATGGCAAGAAAAGTCATAAAATGGGAAAAAACTCAATAACTGTCTTGCTTAGCAGTGGAAAATTTGGGCCCAATTGTAGTCGTAAGTCTTAAGTATATTTCTTGAATGGCTGATGCTTTTCTCTGAAATTTATAGTTGTTGTTGTAGAAGATTGATTGGATGCCTATATCCCAGTCAGTTCCTCTTTGGCAGTTAACAATTGACTCTGGTGTTGGCAAGAAAATTAGTTGGAGACAGGGCTTTTTCCTTTGTTTTATGTGTTTAAGTCTTACTATTGTCTATTGGTTTTTTTTTCAAGGTTACCGTAACAGTTTTTCCTAAAAATAGATTTTAGGATGGTTATCAAATGCTTTATGTTTCTCTTTGGCCCCGTGTTAAGATCTCCCATCTGTTTATTTATTTTTTAACAAATTAGAGTTTATTTCTTAAACATTGAAATTTATAGCTAGAAAATGCATTAAATGAACATTTTATCTCTATGCTATTTAGGAACTTTTTCATTTGTTCTAGGTTTCTTGTGATAATACATTTCAGTATTATCCACATATATGCTCTTCACATTTTTTAAAATAAGTATCACTTTGATAGCATCTATTTGTAAATATTTAGCAGTGTAGTTTTTTCTTGTTTTAGTAAGGAAGATGCTTCTTTTCTTGAAACATAAAAACATTATGGAATTATTCTGTTGTTTTGCTCCTCACATTAAGACCTACAGTAACAATTTCCCATCTAGACTACCATATTTGTATAGTCCATATATAATTTAACAAAAAAAACCTCTTGCAATATCTATTCTTTGTTTGTTCAGCCATGTGGCTAAAATATGTGTTCTATATGGAAATGAATTTGTTTTTCCCCCAATAAACTTCTTGCTGCAATTTACATTTTATGATTATTAAATTATCTATTCTAATTTCTACAGGATGCATTTTGTTGTTGTACTATGGTGATATACTAGGCCTGCCATACATGGCATGGTTAAACTCTCTGAATTAATAGAAAGTAAAAATTAATATTAAACATAACATGGTTACCCAATTATTAGAAACTTGTGTATATTTTAAGATTATTTTTATAAATAACTCAAGGCAATGAATTTATCTAATACTCCTTTGTTCTCCTATTTTCCCTACAACTGTAAGAGGTGAATTGGGTTGAGAGAGAATGACAGGCTCAAAGTCACCCAGCCAGCTTTCATGCCTGAGGTGGGATTAGAATTCAGCCTTCAACTGGTTTGAATTGATTCTTATGAACAAAAGTCAAAGAAGTTACCATTATATATCAACTGTTTTTTCAGTGTTACAAAGTGCTTGCGCTGATGCAAATGGACCATGAGAAGAAACACCTGTTTTGCTTAAATGCAGTAAATTAGCATAATCCATAATAACTACTGGTACTATTCATATATCAGAATTCAAAAGGCCACAAAAAGCTGTGGAATCCAGACAGTCCTTACAAAAGAAAAAAGGATGTGGTGGCATAAAAATATTTACTAATGTATGGATGGTACATGTTCAGACATGCTTCTACAAAGCAGGCACAGTTTTTATACTGATGTTTCAATCAGTCAGGTTTGTTTGCATTTGGCTGACTTACTCAGACATATAAAAGCTTTCATTAAAATATTACCAAATAAGATGTTATATAGTTTGCAGTACTGAAAATGAAGGCACAGATCAGGAACAGAAACATATTGCTCAAATCATCAGGGTTTTAGGAATATGTCCTATTCATTGTTTCTTTTGCTTTCTATAATTCTCCTGCCTTCCATTTATAATCATAGTTCTCCTCGGAAACAATTGTATCCATCCAGCACACAATTAGGGTGTTCTTTTGATGAACAAACTACAGCTAGTCCTTGACATATGACTGTTCATTCAGTGACTGTTCCAAGTTAAGACAGTGCTGAAACAATGGACTTACGACCTGTGCCTAAACTTATGGCAGTTGCAGCACTTTAGAGGTCACGTATCAAAATTCAGGAGCTTGGTATCTCGCCACACTTACAATTGTAGGGGCGCTTCAGTTTCTTCAGCTCAGTTATCTCTTCCCCATTTACTCCCTTTTGGATGCTGTGCATCCTGCCATGTATGACAGCAAGCAGTCCCAAAACTGTGTGGCTCTGGGACTGCTTCCCTGTGCTATGGAGAGCCTCAGCTGCCCCAGCCTGCACCAACAAGCATTTCTTTACCCATCTGCCATTCTCTCAGTTTCCCACACTGATCTTTTGTGCCTAGCCACTGAAGCAGTGCCTTGCTATGTTTGCTGTCTCCTGTTTGGACCCTTGTCCACCATGTTACCCTGGGCACTCCCAACTTCTCGAGCTTCCTATACATGGATCCCTGGCATTGCAGTATCCATGAAGCCCCAGTAAGCATCAGCAAGCATTCATTCACCCAGCTGCCTTCTTTCCCATTTTCCTGCACCGACTTTTCTCCTTTTGAGCCCAGTTGCCACAGATGAAGTAGAAGCACTTCACTGTCTTCTTTTTGGACCTAGCTTCTCCAGTGAAGATATCCTACATACGATTCACTGAACAGTGTCTCCGTTAAGCTGTGCTGCCCTCCAATAAGCAAACAGCAAGTTGACTCCAGATTCATTCACTAACTTTGAACTTCATTCTGTAGTAGAATCTATTCTTTGAAACATTTCTGAAAGTGTATTTGATTTTATTTATTTTAAAAATTATGTGGCAAATCATCTTGTGAGACACAATTCAAACTAGTGAATTTTTTTGCCCTTTGTTTCTGTTAAAGCATACCCTGTCATGTACTTCTAGACTAAGTTCTCAGGAGGATTGCAGATGTTAGGTACAGCATAACTGAGAAAACATAAATACTTCTCAGTCCAAAAATTAAGCCTATTGTTGCCTCAAGATGAAGGCACACAAAAACAGGGCTTTTTGTAGCTCAGCTGAAAAGTATGTGTCAACTCATGTTTTTTGCAAAGAAAAAGACAATACACATCCATGCTCCTTCGGTTTCCACTCCAACTTACATAAATAAGCTGACTAAATGGTTCCATGTCCAGCATACTAACAGCCTATGCTTATTTACCCAGAAGAGCCTAAGGATTTAATACAGAGGAAACATCTATAGCTTTATCCCCTGGTTTATGTGTTGTTGCTTTTTTCCTGTGTGTGAATGTACATGTGTGGACCTCTGCATATTTATATTTGAGAAAATAGTGTGTGAGAGAAAGTAGTTTATAGACTATTTTGTAGATTGTAGTAGATGCATATGGCAGATCAATTTTACGAACAGATACTTTATTGTACAGTTTTAATCAGTTGGCAATTCAGTTAATACTATTTAAATTTTTGCCCTTTTTTGGATGTAGACAGTGACCAGCGTGTTTGCTCATAGGTCCACATTTGTTGCAGGGGAATTAGTTTCAGTGGGAGTTGGCAAATATTGTTAACAAAGAAAGAACTCAAAAAGCATGGATTTTTCTATGTTTATCACTTTTTTTCCCTGTCTATTTTTCCATTGGTGGGAGTGAATTATTTTAAATTAAGCAATATTGTCTTTTAGTGTAAATGTAGTATATCGGTTTCTCAAATTGGTTCCTGATTTTGTTAAGCATATAATTCATATGACTCAGTACATTTTGCTATAATATAGAATAATGTAACATAAATCCTCTAATAATTTTTTAAATTTAAAAGTTGCACTTTGAGCATAGCTCAATATGTGATAATCCTATTATTGAAAAATATCATTTTTCAAATGACAAGATTAAAGATTTTATGGGCTTTTAAAAATTACCAGATGGTAATTTGCTGTGTTGTCCACATCCTTGCATACATTGATGTTTTAAATTGGTATTTAATTGACATTTAAATCTATTCAACTTGCATGGGTGAAAACATTTTTGAAAATATTGTTATTTTTTTTAGGTATTCAGTACTTACTCAAATGAAGACTATGATAGACGCAATGAAGAGGTAGACCCTGTTGCCGCATCAGCAGAATATGAACTTGAGAAAAGGGTAGAAAAAATGGAGGTTTTTCCTGTGGAAATTGAAAAAGGTACAAATCTCAAATGTCTATCCTAGAAAAGCAACAAGGCTGTTTAACATTTATATTTTAATTTTGCATGATATTGCAACATTTCTAATTAGGTACAGCATTACAAAATCAAGAATATAAATTGCTTTTAAGCTTAAGATTGTCTTCTAAAAATTTTGGATGTATAAGGGCTGGATAATATTTTATAAAAGTTGAAAGCATTATAAAAAGCAAACATTTTTTATATATTAGTCATGAGAGAAAACTCAAAACTCATATTGAGGCAACATCATTAGCAAACTTTAAGGTAATGTATGAACTTTCAGACTTTATCTGATTTATGTTTTCTGAATGCATCAAGAAAAATAGGGTGAGAATTAGGGTTGATGTTAGCCAAAATTTAAATGGTAATGTTAAGTAGCACCAAGTTTAAAGCTGAATCCCTTAGTTTTGGTAATGCAAATTCCAGTTCTTAAGTCTGTAGGAATAGTAGAAATATTACCTAGGTTGTCATTGTACTTTATTCTGTGGAATCTTGAAATACATCAATATTTCAGCTTTTATTTAAGCATAGGTTGATTTGTCTTTTAATATCTATCTTAGCTTTAAGGAAATAATCAAAGAAGTTATTACTTTTAAAGCATAAAAATAATGCCAAAATTTTATTCATTAAACATTAAAGACCTGATGAAGAAGGTCTATCTTTATCCTTTTTTTCTTTTTTACACTAGTGGGAACTCAACCCAGCTCCCAAGGTGCTGTATTCCATAGCCTAGAATCAATAGGTGCTGGATAGATAGGTTTCTGAAAGCATGGACATCTTCAAAAAGGCCATCTTTGGCTATTCATATGACTGCAAATAGTCCCTAAATTGTTTAAAGATTTAAAGGTCATAGTAACACATTAACTTTTGCCAGTGAGCAATTAGCAAGTTCTACTGGCATCTTGTGATCCTTGTAAATTACATAACTTACACTTAGCTGCCACATTACCTACCATTTGTGACTTAGGGCGTTATTCAGAGTAAAATAGATTGCAATAGTCAAGAAGAGATACAATGATGACATAGATAACTGTAGTCTAATTAGATTAGCAAACATATTCTGGCATATAACACCTGTGCTGGTGATAGATGAAAATTAAGGACTACTTCCAGGACTACAAGAGACTACTACTTGTCAAGAGAGAATGCAATCCTGTGAAACTCTTGTCTCTAAAATTGAACCTAAAATTGAATCATTGCAAAAGGGAGTGTCTGTTGATCCACTGTGATTCTTGATTTGCTGCACAGTTATCAAGGGGCAGGCATAACCCCTGATGAAAGCATGGCTGCAATTTGGGGGGGCTACCTTTTGCTTGAAAGGCAGAAAAAGATTGTGGCTGGGAGGGCATTCATCTAGTACAAGGGTGTCAAACTCGTGTCGTCACATGACGTATCATGATTTTTTTTCCCTTCGCTAAACCGAGGATGGGTGTGGCCAGTGCGTGACGCATTCGGCCCACAGGCCACGAGTTTGATAACCCTGATCTAGTGCCAGCTGGTTCCCAAATCTTACTTCTCTACAATACTGTCTTTGCGTTGTAACTCATGTCATGATCATTGCCTATCTAGATTTCTGCAATGTGCTCCACATTGCTGTTGTGGTGGCTTTGAAGACACCACAACATCAATTAGTGCAGAATGTGGCAGCTCACATAATGGCAAGTACTAACCGTCAGAAATACATAACTTTGTTGTTTGTCCTTTATTGTTTGCCTATACGTTTCCCTGTAAAATGAACAGTGCTAGTTTTGACACATTAAGCCAGGAAGTGCTATTTTTTTCCATCCAGTTCTGGCCTCGTGAAATTATTTCCTCTCAAAAATTTTCTCCTTCCAGAAAATACTAGAGAATGTTAAAAGATTCATTTTCTGGGGACACTTTTTCTCCCATCTGTGCAGTGTTTTTATAATTGTGAATTGCCAAGAGTCTCTAGTTGATTATATATTCCTATGGAATCCGTCGTATTGAAACTCTTCTGCAAGCCCCAAAGAATCCAAAATAAGGGGACAAGTGGTCGCTGAGGTTTCCTCCTTAGGATTTGACTGAACACATGGAATTCCATTCAAAATAGATTTCATTGACATCATTTGCAAAAAAAGGATGCAAATTGTCAGAAAGATTCTTCAGTTCTCCCACCCCACATCCTCCTCACACCCAAATATCATGATGAAGATGCTTCACTGCATGAAACAAATACTTTTTTTAATCTTTATGTAGTGGAAGTCAAGAAGTAAGCTGTGTTTTCTGCTTTTGTTGCTTCAGAGTAGGCTTTCAGATGGGCCCCAAATCATTGTGTCCCACTGTGAAATTCCTTCATTTATGTCCCAGCTGTCCCCGTCATTTCATTAGTCTCAGCCATTAGCTATGATGACAGCATGCTCACCAAGTTACAAAAATAGGATTTAGCTTGTTGTGTTTTTCTTACAGGTGACAATGGCTTGGGTATCAGTATAATAGGAATGGGTGTTGGTGCAGATCAGGGACTGGAAAAATTGGGTATCTTTGTAAAAACAATAACTGAAGGCGGTGCTGCTCAGCAAGATGGCCGGTAAGTTTCATTTAAGACTTCTTGTTTGTTTGGCCTGCTTTTTGCACAGTATAATAAATGAGGAATATGGAACCTGGAATTTCCTGTTCCTTTCAGTTCCCGTTCCTTTCTATTCTACTTCCACATGAGAGAAAAGCTTTGAACAATCTGGGTTCTTTATGATTTTTAAATTTAAAATCATAGGTTTTTTTTTAGATTCTTGCTACTTAAAACAAACTAGAATAAAGACATAATTTATATGCCAAACTTAAAATAGTATAGGAAGTTGAAATTACAAATGTATTCCAAAGTATTTATGTATATACCAATGTAAATACCAAGGATTTTATTTAACTTGTGAACAGTATCTAAACACAACAAATAATGCGTCTAAACTGTCTTGTTGTCATGTCTATTTGGAATTTGAAGTTCCTCTTTTACTCTTTAAATCCAATTCAGCCACTTGAATTAATATGCTTAATTCAGTAATTAAGTTAATTGTGTTAAGATAATTTGACATCCGAACATGCAGAAATAGTTTCTCTGTTGGCTATGTGTAATCATGTGCAAGTAGTCCTCAATGTACAACCACAATTAAACCCAAATTTTTTGTTGCCAAGCAAGGAAGCTTTTAAGAGAATTTTGCTTGATTTTATTATCTTTTTTGCCACAGTTGTTAAAGAAATTATTGCAGTTGTTAAGTGAATCATGTGGTTGTTAAGTGAATCTAGCATCCCTATTGACTTTGCTTGTGGGGATCTGCCTGGAAAGGTTACGAGTGGTGATCACATGACCCCAGGACAGTGCAGTTGCAATAAATGTCTTCCAGTTGTGAAGTGCCCAAATTTTGATTGCGTGAGGATGGTACAAGGGTTGTAAGTGTGAAAAATGACCATAAGTCACTTTTTTCAGTGACTTCACTTTTTGGAACTTTGACGCTAAACAAATGACTGTAAGTTAAGGACTATCTGTATGCCATTTGAAATATTTGTTTCTAGAACATAAAAATATAATTGGTGTAGTGAAGACTTCTTAGTTGGTTACTTCATGTTTTCAAATTTCCATTAAAATACAAAAAGTGATACAGTGCACTGAACAAGAATAATGCCCTGTATTATAGTGACCAATAAGGGAAATGCTTTATTGTCTATGATAAAAGAATAGTTTTGTCATCACGGTAAAATAGAACTGAAAATAATAATGTTACCAAAGTGAAAATAAGTACTTTGTTTCTTTTATAAGTCCTTTGTTATTCTTTCTAGTTCGGGAACTATAGGTAGTCCTTGACTTACAACAGTTCATTTAGTGAAGTTGCAACGGCACTGAAAAAAATGATTTATGATAATTTTTCACACTTATGACTGTTGCGGCATCCCCATGGTCACATGATTTACATTCAGATGCTTAGCAGCTGGTTCGTATTAAAGATGGTTGCAGTGTCCCAGGCCCATGTGGTCCCCCTTTGCGACCTTCCTTACAAGCAAAATCAGCGGGGAAGCCAGATTCATTTAACAAGCCTGTTACTAACTGAACAGCTGCAGTGGTTCACTTAATAACTGTGGCAAGAAAACTCGTAAAATGGGGCAAAACTCACTTAACAACTGTCTTGTTTAGCAATAAATGTTGGGCTCAATTGTGGTCGTAAGTCGAGGACTATCTGTATATGGAAAGATTAATGACCCAGTCTACTCATAAGGGTGTATACATCTGCCACTTACTGATTCAGATCTTATAACATGTGTAACCTTGAAAGTGGATATTGAAAACGCCTCACACACATCAAGTTTACCTACATATTCTATTTATGCTAAGCTGAGTGTTACAAAAAGTTATGTCACAGGATGTTTGCTCATTACTTTGTGGAAAATGATGTAGATGCTTGATTGAAAGTGATAAATATGACGTATATATTCATTCCTAGTTTTTTTTGCATCAAATATGATGTAATATGCAAAATCTAATGTTTGTTCCTTGCCTTGTAGAATCCAAGTAAATGATCAGATTATTGAAGTTGATGGGATAAGCCTGGTGGGGGTAACCCAGTTTTTTGCAGCAACTGTATTAAAAAATACAAAAGGCACTGTCAGGTATGAGTAATTATATATAATTAAGCAATCATTGATTTATTCCCTTATTTACAGTATATTTGAATGAGTATGCAAGGCATGTAACAAAACCATAGTCCAAATAGATAAAATTAAGTTAATGCTAAAAGTACATTTTCATCAATTTTCTAAATTAGAGAGAATGAGAGGCAAACACAGCTCTTGAGAGAATGCTATTCATAGTTTGGGAGCAATGAAAAAAAAAGTGCATGCTTTGTGCCACATGTGGAAACTTCTGACAGCAGGGAAATCTTCCAAATGTACTGTCCTTCAATTCAGACAAGACTTTAAATCCAGACAAGTTTTAATGGGACATGAGTCAGTCCTTCAGATAATCTGGTCCAAATGTTTTAGAAATATTTAAGTTGACTGTGAAAACTTTATATTGTGCCCATTAACGCAGATATATGAATACTCCAGTAGCATTATGTGATACGAAGCAGTATATAAGTCTAAGTGTTATTGCTATCCCGGTATTATTCTGCACTTTGCCTCCATTGAAATTTCTGACCATAAACCTGAGTTTATCAAAATGTCCTGTAAGAAAACAAAGCATAGTATATTAAAAAATATTAAAAGCACCATTGTATTTTTTTTTTCATTGATGCATTAATATTGGTTAATTTTTCACCTTAGATTTCTGATTGGAAGAGAAAAACCAGGAACTCAGAGTGAAGTAGCTCGGCTTATCAGCGAGACATTAGAACAAGAGAGATACTTATATGAGCAGCAATATGCCCATGAAACAGAACAGGTAACAAGAAGTGTGTGTGTGTGCGTGAATATACATACACATAAATATATACATACCTACTCATGTTGGGTTTGGAGTAAATTGTTGCTTTTCAAAACATTATTTCTACATTAGCTTTTTCCTGTAGGTATCAAAGTATAATGAGTTTACCAGAAACCTTGGAGCAACAGATAGAAAAAGTTATCTAGGTTGTTATCTGACAGTTAGAAATTATTCATGAATTCTTATCTAAGGTGATCATCCGTTGAGGGAGAAATAAGTGGGGTGGGGAAGAAGAAAATTTCCGACAGCAATTTATGAATTGCATAAATTACATAAAGAGAATACATGGCAGGTAAGTCAAACTTTTTTTAATTGGAAGGGACAGAGCCCTTCAAGAAAAACCAGGCACATGAGTGGAGAGTTGTGTCCTCATTCCATCCCACATTATTTGTTCCTTCTGTCTCATTCATAGACTAACAGTCATTCCCAGTTCTTCCTGTGAATTATTACATTTTGTTCTCCTTTTTTTCTTTTTCTTATTAAACTGCATTTTTTTTCTCCCTGTCTCCATTTTTCTTTCAACCATGGACAAGCTTCAGGTTCCTTCTTTTAAATCTTCTTATTTAATGGGACCTAGGAAAGTTGCCTTTTCTGTGGTTGCCCCATTTTCTCTGGATTGACATCCACCCCAAGATTTTTAACAGGCCCCAACTTTTTTTGCTTTTAGGAAAGCTGTTAACAGCTGTCTCTTCCCTCAAGCGTTAGGAGCTGGTTGAGTGGGAGTCCCCTGTAACTGCTGTGCTGTGTCCTTCGTTGCCATTTATAGTTGATATTTATGTATTGTTTACTGTTACGTTCCTTGTTATTTATTTACTTTTATGCTGTCCGCCTCTCATGATCACATTGGTTGAGTTGGGCAGAGTTTTAAACCATACAGATAAATGCTATATCCCTTTTCCTCTTATACCTTTGTCCATGTGTTGCGATCCTCTCAACATAAAATTTTCCTGGTCTCTCCTACCTACATACTGTATATGATAAGGTAGTCGTTCAGTTTCAGTCGTTAAATTTAGTTCATCCAATGAGTAATTTTCTCCTTCTCCCATTTCTTCTTCCCCAGCAGTTTTGCTGTTTAATTGTGGAAGATTGTTTCTTTTTTAAGATCACTTTATAGATCTGTAAAATCCTTTTGAAAGGAGTTGTTGACAGTAGATATTTATGTTTGTTAGGAGTGAGGAACCTGTAACCACACAAATCAACAGTGAATCCCAGCACCTCCCATGTTCAGCTATATTGATTCTTCTGATAAAGTAAAAATTGTTAATGACTGTATTTCATTGAAACAATAAGCCATACATCTTGGTTAGTAAAGCATTAGGCATAATACAATTTAGCTATAATTTTATATTATTATTATAAATGCTGTTATTTAATAAATGGAAGTCTGGGTGGTTACGTTTGCATTGACATATTTAGTGCCCTTATAAAGATAACATTGGACTATAAATTAAATACTTTATGTAAGCATTAAATAAAAAAATTAAAAGCAAGGCAAGTAACTTTTCTTCATTTTGTTTTTCTTCTGCTACACTTTGTACCCATTTGTGTTTTCCTGATTTGTAAAGCCCCTTTGCTCAAAAAGAGGAACAAAGTGAGAATAGTAGGGCAACATGGACTAGCAGATTTCTTGCTCAAAATATACTTTCAGCCAAATTTTATGTTCAGATTCAAAGTTTATTTTGGTCAGAGATCAATGTAATCAAATTTGATGGTTTAAAATGTCATATGAAGCAACAATTAAATATGTAAATATAAACTATTAAGCATTTACTTTTAAAAATGTTAGATTTTAAGCTTTGCATGTTCATAAAAATATAAAAAATAACATGTATATATAATAGCATATTTTAAGAAAGTTTGATATTGCTTTAATAAAATATTGTTTAATATTGTTTCAGGATGAAGATTATGATGAAGATGATGTTTCTTTTGAATCACATTTGCAAGAAAAATCAGTAGAAGTATTTTATCTTCCTGAAAATGAAGATATTAACTTCCCATTAGATATGGATTCTACACAGTTCATGCTGAAGTTTAAAGAGGTAGGTGCAATTTTTTATCTCTTAAAATGGATGATAGGAAGTTTACTATTATAGAAAATCTGATGTTACAATTTAATGATATCTTTTTCAAAGGTATCTTTGGAACTGAAGAACCCAATAAAATTTATGGAATATATTGTATTTTAAAAATATTTTCTAGATGTGTATGTAGGAATTCTACTTCCTATTCAAAATATAAAATATCCTGGGAATGTTGTTCATTTTAATAAGTCCAGAAAAACCATTTTATATATCTGTTTCATTGAGAAATATTATTTAGTAAGCATATCTAAATAAGTGATAAATGTATAATCAAAATCATAATAAAACCATTAATGCATGAAAAATACCAGAATCAATTCAATACAGGTAGTCCTCAACTTACAACAGTTCATTTAGTGACTGTTCAAAGTTACAATGGCACTGAAAGCAGTGACTGATAATCATTTTCACATGTATGAACTTTGCAGCATCACCATGGTCACGTGATCAAAATTTAGATGCTTGGCAACTGGCTTGCAGTTAAGATGGTTGCAGTATCCTGGGGTCACATGATCATCTTTTGCGACAAGCAAAGTCAATGGGGAATCCAGATTCATTTAACAGCCGTGTTACTAACTTAACAATTGCAGTGAATCACTTAACAACTGTGGCAAGAAAGATCGTAAAATGGGGCAAAGTTCACTTAACAAATGTCTCACATAGCAACAGAAATTTTGGGCTCAATTGTGGTCATTAGTTGAGGAGTACCTGTATTGCAGTAATCTAAGCATATAAGCACAATAAGGGCATATGTTACTCTTCACTACATGTAGCATTTTCCACATAATACCACCTATGGGATTACACTATGTTCTTCCTCTACCTCTTCCCAATCCTCACTCCATTTCTTTCATTCCATTCTTCAGTCCTTTCTGGGGCAAAATCCAGATAGCTGATCCAGCTGCCATGCTCAAATCTCAGCTTTCTCCACTATATTCCTTTTGCCTGCCTCAGCAAAACAGTTGTGACCTCCATGCTGTTGATGTGACACTGGCCCCTTCCCCCACCCAAAGCCACTGCTTCCAAAGGAGTTGCCTTTTCAGACTCTGTTATTTCCTTCCACTGTACTTTTAGCTAATAACACTTTGAGGCTCTTCTAAGACTTTTGAAAAAAGAGAAAAACATATCCTTTTTGTATAAAGCATATATTTATACCTTTGTTTTGATTCAGTTGCATAGTAGGCTTTAGAGAATTAATTTTTATCTTTTAAGCCTTCTAATGAATACTTCTTGTCAACAATAATAAAGGTGATTATGTAAAGAAATATTTTAAGGCAGTGTATATTGGAAAATATATTAATATATCAGTTGGAACCATTTTTATCTAGCAATATACAGTATCATGATTCTTTAACATGAATCAAACAGTGACTCTATTCATATTTATCTTACATAAATGCGTCATATAATTATCAGCTGGAAACAATTCAAAAAGAGAAAGAGCTGACTGAAATTTGGATGTCAGCAAAATTGGTGGGAAAAACAAGTCATAACTACTTCCTTGACTAGTTCTAGTAGTCTGCCTCTTATATTTGGACAAAACTTATATATCTTATATATTTGGCCAGAGATTGGGAATCTGTGTCCCTTCATATATTGCTGAATTTTATCATTTAACAGATTTAGCCATCATGGGTAGTAGTGAGGTAATTTATGAACTGTAGCCTAGCAGTATCTTGAGATCAGTTGGTCTAGTGTAAGTATGTAATAAATGAGTGGTTTTATTCTGCTTGAGGAGAAGAGCAAGTGGGCACTTTGAGATTATAAAACTTTATTGCTTCCAATGTGATGGGAAAAATGTGAACATGTATAAAATGAATTTTCAAATATCAGTTGCACTTTTTTTCTTCAATAAAACGTTCTATGCATTTTTTCTAGTTACAATTAAAGCATGCAGTTACAGTGGCTGAAGTTAATCAACTTAAGGAAAAGGTAAATTTTCAATATATGCTTTTAAAAAATATGTTTAAATTCAGTTTTGTAAATTCAGAATGAATAAATTAAAGGCAAACAAGATAAAACCAAATTTTTAATTTCAACTAAAAATAGAAAACATTATGCAATTTGTGCTAATCTGTGAGGAATGTTTTCTGTAGAATTTCATTACACATGTGATGTACTTGTTGAAATAAAAATAAGTAAGCAAATGAAAGTCACAAATAGATAGGAGGAATAATTTATTTTGTAAGGATAACAATTGTCATTTGTAAGTAAGGGCAGTGTCTTATTCTCATCCAGGGTACATGGCTTAGAATTGTTTGATACTTTGAGATTTTTAATATTCTGGTATAGAATACCTTTTTACATAAGTCCTGTCTCCCTTCCCCAATTAATTAAACAGATGTTCCAGTGCAACATAAGATGTACTGCTTGTACTGCATTTTTGATAGCAGAGAAGGATTTCATAGTATATGAATTTTCTATAGAATAAGATCTAGGTCATTTGCTTTCTTATAATTAAAACATAGTATATAACTTGGATCACTGAATCTAAATCAGGGGTCACCAACTTTTTGGACCTCCAGGACCACCAAACACATAATTTTAAATCCCGCAGACCACTAATGAATTTTGACTGATGGTG